AAGGAAAAAAAAAAAAAAACGTTTTGTTATCAAAGTTGTGAGAGGCGCGGTGAGGTACGAAGGAGAGAGTGGGTGACCCGTAAGTTGGGAGAGGATGCACAGAGGTCTCTAAAGAGGGGTTTCGAGACATAGGAGCACTAGTGACGTGGCTGCGACGTGCCGTCAAATTTTGCTCAAACTCAAACAATTAAATAAAACCGATTTGTTATCAAGGTTGTTCAAGGCGCGGTGCGGTTGAATAGAATCGAATTATTAGAGTGTTGTTCGAAGCGCAAGGCGGAACGAAGGAGAGAGTGGGTGACCCATACTGCCATACCCTGGGAGAGGATGCATACAGGTCTCTAAGAGGGGTCGTGCGACATGGCGGCCCGAGTGACGTGACTGCGGCGTGCCGTCAAACGTTGTTCCTAATCAGACAATTGAATAAAATCGAATTATTAGAGTGTTGTTCGAAGCGCAAGGCGGAACGAAGGAGAGAGTGGGTGACCCATAACTTGGGAGAGGATGCATACAGGTCTTCAATGAAGGGTTGCGCGATATGACAGCCAAAGTGACTTGGTTGCGATGTGTGATCAAAGTTTGTTCGAGAATGGACAATTGAGTATAAGCGGATCGATGTCAGAAAGGTTTGACGGTAAATCGGGCGCAAAATCTAATTTGTATCGCTCCTGTCTCGAAGCGGCCTGCCATGGCGCCCCTAAATCGGAACGAAGGTAATGAAAGACAAATAGATAGATAGATATTGACCTCTGTCTTTGAAGGAGTATTTTGAGAAACATGAAGGATCACGTAAGCACAATGAGAATGCAGTGAGAGAGTGCGCGCTCTAAATAGTGGATGAGAAGGGCATTAGGCGAAAGGGGATTGGAATGATTCGTACTCTTTCGTTTCGTGTGAATAGAAAGTAGAATGTAATCATGATAGAGGGGGAGAAGTCACAATAAGATGCTTCAGAGCTATAGCGAGCATAAGTATGATGCGGTCCAGATAAGCCAACACAACAGCCTATCCGAGTCGACCAAGGAACATGTGGTATCATTTGTAATACAATGAGAGTGAGCCGTCACTATTTGTGCATGGGAAGAGTGTCGGAAGGCCACACGCAAGTTCTGAAATACAAACAGGCTCCTTGAAACGCGGCGGTGGGGCGGTAAGTACGTAGTAGAGACTCTCACTTTGCATTTTTTTTTAATTATTGATTTTTTTTACCACTAGAAATCACTGATATTCTCACCTTATTTAAAGTGACGTCATGCTGCTGACGTCGGTGGCAACTCCCCGAAAGTACGCGGACGGTCGGTAAACTTTAGCGGAGTTTCGACCGGTCCAAACTCTTCAAAACAGTACATCTCAAACTCTCCTGATGGCTACGGGCCTCCGACCCACAGGTTTGCAAGTCTGCGAATTGCAGAAGTGTTCAGCTGCACAAATGTAACATGTCGAAGAAAAATTGCGAAAGCAGGCACACACTAAATGGAGGCGGGATTGCCGGGCATCAGAATGACACCCGCAAACAATTTTCTTGCTCATAGATCTTGTCGATCAACCTCATTGATGGTTCATAACATGGTTCATAACATCTTTATACTTCTTGAATTGACATCAAGTCGTCGTGTGTACCGAATTACGAAACTAACAAGGTCGACCGCCGCTGTGGGACCTTTGCATGGAAGTCGCCAGAACACTTTCCACCTACTAGGCTACACGTAACCTCTGCCTCCAATTGCGGAGGTTCTAAGGTTAATCTCTAAGGTGACCAGTCACCCAATCTGCAGATTGACCTCCAATTTGAACCGAATGGTATGGAAAGAAGCACCATATGACTCAATCTCCACGTCTGCTTGAAGTGGTTAGTGCTTCCGTTTCTGAACCCTAGCTGACAGATTCCTCGAGCGGGTGGCCCCACAGTTGATCACTCAGCGTCTGCTCAATCCTCGTCCTCTGCAAAATAGACCACGAGGCTTTATCAGGGTGTGCCAGAAGCGGCAACCGTAAACAAGAGCTGCACGAGCGGACTGTTATCGCTGCAACGTTCGACAAACTTCGTCGAGTTCCCGCACTACCAAGTGCTCAGAAACGCTGCTCGGTACATGCCAGGCGTCCAGTAAAGGCTATTCGACAACGGGCTTGACGCTTTGACTTCAAATGCACGATAAGCAAACCACGTCCCAAAACGCCGCAGGTCCCCAGAGCCTACAACACCTCACTATAACCAGTTCAAAGAAAGGCCCCTCCAGTGCAGACGCAAGGAGTAACGAACTGCCTGACACCGAACTCAGGACCTCTCCCCTTTTCCCTACAAGAACCGCTTCTCTTAAGTCGAAACCCTTGATCAAATGACAACGGGCCTCTTACCATCTTCTTCGTCCTCCCCCCCCGATTCATCTTCGTCCTCCTCTTCCCCCTCGTCCCCTTCGTCGTTCTCGTCGCTCTCCGACGCTTCCGTGTAGCGGGGCACCTTCGCGGCCGCCTCGCGGGCCGCCCGTCGGCTGCCGCGGCCGCCCTCCTCGATGATGTTCTCGGTGTCGATGCCTTCCAGCTCCTTCTGCGTCTGGAGCCGCTTGCGTACGCGCTTGATCTCTGAGACACGGAGCCAAAAGCCACGTCAAAAGAAGCACTGCTTTCCGTTTTAGGGAAAGTCTCTGACTACCTCGACCGACATAATCAGCGCCACCGGAAACCTCGATAGGAAAGACTTAATTCTGAACCTCGAAGAGCAGCATATATTCGGTTTGATTTTCTGAGACGGATTGGTCGACTCGCCGGGGTGTCGGCTAAGTCCGACCGCAGCACATGCCGCCAGACACAGCTACGACGTCTTGCACCTTGCCCCGCAGACGGCTAAGCACGAACCTCTTTTCGCCTCGTTGAAGAATTGCTTTCCAGCCTTGAATTGCTTTCCAGTTTCCATCTTCGCTCCTCACCGTTTCTGTTTGACACCAAAGGTAATAGGAGATACGAGAATGAAACAGGTGAGCAACTGCAATCTGCGCATCGAATCGGGCTGCTTCCTCGACCCTTCAGCTCGGGTTGCAACAGGGCGTACCTTGATCCGAAGGGTGGCCGGAGAGGCCCTCCTTCTTGAGCAGGTCCTTGAGGCCGCGAATCAGGGCCTCTTGCCGATTCTCGGCGTCTGCATCCTTTGCCTTCTTGTACACCGCCGGAGGAATCCTGCATGGGTACCGCAATAGAAACGACGTCAAGTGACATCAATCTGTGAATGAGTAAAAGCGCTGACATGATGCGTGCCAATATTGAGACTTCTCTAGGACGAAAAGGTCTTCAGGTGCTTTCATAAGTGCTCAGCGTCCTCAGACATCTTTGTAGCCTACACTTCTTCCAACATAAGATTTGGGCAGTCAGGATGAGGAAAAAACAAAAGAGACACCGGCGCTTGGCCTCACAAAACATGACATGGATCTTACTTGGGGCGCTCGCCACGTGTTCGAGCGGTTCCCAGTTCCAGACGCTAGTAGTACGCGCCACTATGCTGTAGCGCCAGCTAGGAAATTCGAAACTCCGAAAGAAAGCGGAAACTGCAAGTGATGATTCGAAATTGACTCGGCAACAAGGCACCATCAGTCTGTCCACTTACGTGATGCCGCACTGCTTCAAAATGCTTTTCAGCTCCACGACCCGCTTGGTAGTCAGGTAGGCAGCTTGAGACGGCTTGCTTGGAACCTGCACACGGGGTCCTCGAAGCTCAGAGCTGATCCGGTCTCCTCTGAGGTCCCCGAGAAAGAGTACCGATAAGAACGAGTTAGACTCGAGACGACGATTCTTGCCTGAGTATGGCGATACCCTTAACAGCAGGCAAAGTTTGGCCCACTGAAATTGCAACCTTTCAATTGCTCTTCGACGATATGCGGAAGCAAGACCCGCACTCAATCCTGTGGTCACCCAACGGAAGAATCCGTACCTCATCTTCTCTTTTCTTCTTGACAGCTTCCCTCCGCGACGTCTGCTTACGGGTGGGCTCCTCTTCCGAGTCTGCACTCTCCCCGCTTTCGGCCTCCGACGAGCTCTCCTCTTTTTTTCGCCGCTTTGATGGTCCCGGCTTCTCGTCTTCGCTGGAGCCTGCAGCAGTCATCACAGCTTGCATCCTCAGGGCATTCACACCTTGAGACCTATTGAAGGCAGAACGTGAAACAAATTTCATTGGGGGGGAAACGTATCAGCATAATCCTACCATTAGTGGGGAATTTCGAGCTCGAGAGATGCATGAAGTCATGTGTAATCTCCGAGTCGCTGTTTGTCCCGGAAACCTCGTGTCCGTGCGTAATGCTGCTCGTCCAAAGCTCTCAGGAGCTCCGACCTTGACAACCCAATCGTCGGTCCTTGAAATGGAAGTCGAAGATTGAAACGGCGCAACTTGTCGATTAAGGCCGACCGGTGGGGAAGTTGTGTATCAGCCCGCTGACAGTCACAAGTGGTGGTAGAAAGAGCTCGAAGTTGGATACCTGACTCCTCGTCGCTCTCTTCCTCGTCTGACTGGGGCTCTCGTTTTCTGGCCCTTTCTTTCACAACTGCTTCTTCCTGGTCCGTTTCTTCGCTTTCACCTGTTAGATAGAGATTACTGTGCATTGGTTTTTGCAGATTGTCAGACACTCAACAGGGACGTCGAGTCCCATAGTTTTGGCCAAGTTGCGACACCTTGCACCCAGAGAGGATCCTTCCGCTTCCAGTGGACAATATTGCTCAGCATTCCTCAACTTCAGTTCTTATCAAAGAGTTGATAATGGCTACAATAGTCCTCCCTGCTCAAGAAAGGCGAGGCATTCTCACTAGACGATTCTTCCGTCTCTTCTTCCTCGTCCTTTGGCGCAGGCTTATGTTCACTGCGCCTCATCTGCTTGGTCCCTTTAACCTTCAATTCTTTCTTCTGTATCCTCCTCACATGTCGCTCTTCTTCCTCAGATTCTTCCTCGGCTGCACAATCGACCAGATTCGTCGGTGAGTCGGGTGTCATAAATGCTCTGACCAGAGGTCTTCCGAAGCATGCATAATCATTAGATGATGCTTGGCCGGTCACAATGCAAAGAAAATTTCAGGCACTTCGACTATGGAAGAACGGAATCTTCTTTGCAAGAGAGTAGATAGCAGGGCTTTGCATGTGAAGAATTTCACCTGCTTCGTTCTCACTGTCTTTCTCCTCGTCCATCTTCACATGACGCCGAGTATGCTTGCCTCCCGACTGCTCCGTTGCTTTCCGTTTTTTGTGTACTACCACCTCTTCCTCCTCCTCCTCATCAGAAGCCTCTGGCGTCTCTTCCGCTTCAGACTTGTGCCCAGGCGGCTCCCCTTGTTGGCCTCTATCCATGAGAGCCCCCTTGGGGGTTCCAGGTGCCTCAGCATTTGCCCCGTAGTTTGCCGCCCCATTGCTCCGTGTTGCCTCATTCAGTACCTGCGATGTCGCAATATATTTCATCAACTTCTACCGTGAAAGAATGATCAAATCTCTGGAAAAATGCTGTGCTGGTGAGGCCTTATGAGCGGTTTGCCGGAGTTTGGGACGAGGATTGTGGAACGAAACATAGATCTCCAGATCTTTTTTTGACTAGTTTCCCTGCAGAGCCCAAAGTTTGAAAGCCACCTTTTAGCTCGCCCATGATGTGACATGACCTGCAAGGGTTGGACGGCACAGAACTCAAGCAAGCAGCTGAGGTGCTTGCGTTCCGCTTACCCTGTCTACCGCGGCACTGATATACTTCTTCCGAGATTCAAGGGACCCTGCTGGCAGTCCAAGGTCTTCTTCCAGGAGCCGCCGCACGATTCTCATTGTGATAGTTCTGCAGAAAGCGTGTATCTGTATCAAGCTCAAGCAGGGGCAGAACAGGGCAATGATTCCTCCAAGAGAGGCCATGTATGCGCTTCAAGCCACTTAAATTTACCCTGTGTCTAACTGCTCTCAGCAAACACCCTGTCCAGGCAAAAGCACCAATGCCTCCAACCATGACCGCAGCGCATGAAACTGGCTCAAAATGAGGATGCGTTTACAAGGACTACTCACTCCGCTTCTGAACGGAACTTTGGCGCTCTCTTCCTGATCGCATCATCAATCTCCTGTTCAGTGGCTGCCATCTTCCCTTCTTGAAGAACTGTCAAAGTTGAAGGAGGTCCAGCGGCTGTTTGGGAATATTGCAGCATATCAATGCCGATTGATTGAAGTCACATCACAGGGACCGCCCCTGACCGTCACAACCTGAAATTCCAATCCAAAATTGATTAAGCCTTGAGGGTAGAGGGCGCTACATTTTAGAGCGCAAGCGAGACAGACACAAGCTTGAAGCTGCTCTGCAACCGAAATTCGCCGACTTGTACAAAAGAACAATATGTGGTGAATAGGTGAATGAGGCTTTGAAGCTACTCTTGTGTTCCCCTTGACATTCAAAAGTCACAGAAGAAAAACTGTGGGCAGATTGCAAATCAGCGAGGACCATTAGTATCGAACATAAGGACGAAAATTAAAGAGCTCTGAAGGTGGGAGACCGTGACTGTGGCTTGCACATCAGATTGCTTGCGAGAGCTCCAAAGGCGAAAGAAAGCACTCACCAAACCTGCGCTTGCCGGCAAATATGGTGCTCATGATCGATGGATGCAACTTCAAGCTCGCGCCGTCCGTGTATGCTCTGGGCACTGACACTTTGCCTCAAAACAAGTGCGACAAAATCAACAACCACCGCGACTATCAGCTTGGTACTCGGATTGCATCATCAATTTTTATGACTGCGGCCCCAGCCTAGTGGTACACTTTCTAGACCAGAACCTTTTTGCAGCGGGCCTGGCCAACGGCAAAAGGACCTTCAATGAAGGGTTCAGCCTTCATGCACGTCCAATGCAGCTTTTTAGAATCAGATGTTTTAGATACCTATGCTGGCACTGCCAGGGCTTGCTGAAGTCTGGAAATTGTCCTGCTTGAAAATGAATGCTCATGCAGGAGTGCACCGTACCTTTGACCCGAGCAATGCTGTGAACTTGGCTTGGGCGCGATCCCAAGCCGTTAGATTGCTTCTCGAAAGAAACCATCGAACAGCTTGATTTCGTACAGTCTTGCTCTTTTATCCCGCGCTGCCATTTGTGACGTCCGATGCGAGGAGGGCAACATCGACGGCCATAACTCCATGCATCCCCAGCTTGATCATCGACTTGTGTGCAAAACGTTTGCGCGTCTGACTCTCTAACTTTAAGGTTCGACCGTGACGTACAGAAATGGCGGCACAGATCGCAGCTCTTGAATGGATCAGCAGCACAAAGCGCCGGCGCTGTCATTGTGGAATATATTCTTACTTGAAATTCTCGACGTGTCTGCGAACTCTTTCGAGGTTCCAACCATTGATGGAGAAAATGCATGCTCACATGTCGTTTATCCATTTGTTTCACCAAGGTTGACCACATGTTTCTTGTAAGCCAATCGTTCAGTCATTTATATTAAGGGCTTGCATCATCCGGAACACTTTGATACAAGCTGTATGACAAAAACGCATGCTGAGCTTCTGTCCATGCCCGGGCCAAACGTAGATCCTCCAAGAAGCATCGTATCATCACAATACTTTGCTTCGGCTTAAATTAGATTCGTAGCATCTTTTCATTCAACAAGGATACTCACCATCCTGCTGTAGGAAGCATTAGCTGCCAAACAAAGAGCCCAACCACAACTTCGTCGCTCACCGTTATGATGTTTGCTTTTCCCTCGCTTGGGTATCATCAGCGACACCACCATCTGCCCCCTCAACCAACTTATTTAGGACCTCCTTCGCATTGTTTGTTAGCGCCTCTTTTTCGGCCAATGCTGAGCTTTCCAGCTTACTTTCTGCTTTCTCCCCTTCTTTCTCGGGGTCTGTCCTGACCTCAGCTTTAGCTTTTTGCACGCTATCTAGATTATCTTCTACCTCAGCCTTTTGTGCCTCTGCTAATCTGGTCTGTCGCTCCTCCTCTGCTTGTCGTGCCGCCTCCTGTTCCTACATGAAATGTCGATCATTCAGCCTGAAGGAGACTTGGGTGAACGAAGTCAACTATACTCAAACAGACGTTTGCGACTGCCTCCGAACTTCCTTGCCTTCCTCCTTTTCAGTTCTGAAGGATCTTGTGAAAACTCTTACACAGGCGCAATCGAATACGCGACAAACGCAGGATTTCAAAGTGCTCGAGTAAGCTCACTGCTTTCGTGCATCATCTGTTGCATATGTTTCAGAAACGCTGGCGAGGTAAACAAATTACAGTCTTGCGAAGCTGCTAAAACAACCTGATACAGACAGACAGAAGGAGCAAGAGACCAGTAAAAGACTGCATAACGCCACTCGCATCATGGCGGAACCCGATGTAGTACATGCTTGAACAAGCCATGGGTGGGTAGAAGAGCAACCTGCTACTGCAAATAGGGCATAAAGATCCAATTTGCAGGGATTGTCCCCATGCGAAAGCATCTGCTGAGCTCTTAAACAGCGTGTAGTCCAGTGGTCTCAAAGACTCTCTGACACAAAAGAAAGCCACCGAGATGCCTTCATATAAACAAAACAGAAAGAATAACTGCAACTGTTTCAGGCAATATGAAAATCGGCCAGGCCCTTAAGTCGTTACCCCAACCCTTAAGGTGTGGTTCCAAAGGCAGGGTTGCCTGGCTTCCTCTTGTTTCTCTTTTAAAGAAGAATGTTTTTTTGACTGGTCAATCACAATCGTTTCTGTCTCGAGACTCACCAGTTCCCTCTGCTTCTCCTCCTCCACCCGCCGTGCTTCGTCTGCAGCAGCCTGCTCCGCTGCTTGCCTGGCCGCCGCATCCTCTTCAACTTTCGTGGCTTCTGGGGCTGCAAAGATCACATAAGCCCGTGTTATGTCGTGTGGAACAGCATTCCCGTTGCCAAATAGGATCGAGGTCCAACATACTGCTGACGACCGCCCCAAACTGCACACGAGTGGCTCAATAAAGCCATTTTTCAAGGCGCCCGCTCGACGCTCATCGTCATCTTCGTCTGCACCAGTACCAAATCCAGTCTCTACAAGCCAGTACCGATTCGGTCTTTGCAAGCCCCAGGGCTGGATTCTCTTTTCAAGCTTCACATGAAAAAAAACCAGGTTTCGTTGAGTGTTGAATCCTCAAGTTCGCGTATCCGACCTTTCTTTTTCTTCTTGGACTTTTTCTTCTTCTTCTTCTTCTTCTCCTCCACCAGCCGCGCCTCGTACTCCGCCCACTGCTCCTCGCTCCACTCCTGCGGCTCCGCCACCACCGGCAGATTCTCCGCCAGGCGCCACCCGGCCGGATACTGCCCTTCCTCAGCAGCCTCAACTTTGAGCCACCACGCAAGCACGTCCTTTCCGCACCGCCCCAGCGTCTCGACCTGCGACTCGTCCTCAACCATCCTGGCCAATAAATCGGTAGGGTCCTCGTCGCCCTCGTAATCCCCGACGACAGCGTCCACCTTCCCTAGTGTCGTCGACGGTTTCCACTCCCGCAACCAGGCGGGCCGCTCTGCTGGGGCCCACAGCAGGCGCGCATTGAAGGCAAACCCCACCCACTCTAGTTTCGGAATGAACAGCTCGGGCTCAAAGTACTCGGACTGCTCCACTTGCTGCAGCTGCCGTACGACAGTCCCCGCCCCCAACTGGCTGATTGAATCGCTTCCGGCCCCAAACCCCTCGGTTCTTTCTGGAACCTCAAGCGCTAGCAACCGCCGCTGTGCTCCCTCCCCTCCCGGCAGTCTCTTCTCCGCGGCGCCAAGCAGCGCTCTTTTTGGGACCACAGCCGGCTTCTTCAACCGCAGCAGTTCGTGGTCAGCTGCATGCCACCCCCGCACGTCCCCCTCGGGGCCGCACACGGGGCCCTGCACCGGGAGATCCACCTGGCTGCCCCCCCCCTGCACGAGCATCCCCACCGAGAACGCAGCAAACCAGCGCACCTTCTGCAGCTCCTGGAAGAGCGCCAGGCGCAGCGTCGCGCTGTCGTCCGCAAAGACGACGACGCCCTCCATTGCTTGTTTCTGGATGTACCCCAGCGCGACATCACGCAGGTAGTCCTCGACGATCGGCCGTTCCGGCGCTCGCACGTCGGGCATGGTTACCCCGGGTACGGGAAGCAGGTGGATGTCTGCCAGTCCCGTCTTGCTCAGAATGGCCTGCGTTTCTTCGGTGGGGCCGCCGGCCTCGACCACCAGCCAGGAGAGGGGTTCCGGGGCGAGGCGCAGGGTGTCCGTAAGGTGGCTCAAGTGGATTTGCTGAAAGGCGCGGCGGTAGGTCGGCGTGACGACAATCATGCGTTTTCGACGATCAAGGGGGACGCCGAACTGGTTTTGCTGCTCGCGCTGCATCAGGGGGTGATATGCATATTTTGAGCAGATTGAGGCGGGAAGTGACCGTGAGGGAGAACGAAGTAAACCTAAGCGTACATGCAGCTTCGGCTGAAATGTGCGCGGTCCAGGTGCACAGGGCTTGGAGAATGAGTGGCCTGTGTTTGGTCACAAGCAGGATCTGCCGGCTCAAGTAGCAGCCTTTCCTTCAAGATCCAAGACCAACCAAAGCGCAACGTCCAGCAAGACGAAGGGCCATTTACCAGGCGGCGCACCTAACTTTCCCTAGATAGTTAACACGATCAAGACTGATTGACTTTCGCCAAATGGAACAATCAACCAAGCCTGAAATGACCCTAGAATAGGAGCTTGCAAGACAGCATTGCTATGCCAGATGCACTCATATAAGCCAGCGATCGTGGTGGTGTGATTTCGCTAGACTTTCTCCAGTAGAGTGCCATGTCTCCTGTGTTCCTTCTGCAAGAAAGTGCCAGCACCTTTTGCACGGGGATAGCATTGCCAACCACCTCAGTTTGAAAATCTCCAGATGTATAATCAACAAAGGTCTGCTGCTACCCTAGATTCTCTTACTGAGCCTCTTCGATCCATCAATCTGCTTAATGCCTCATCACAGTAAGGATTTTACAATTGACCCTATAACCAGAAGTTCACACGCCCTAGTGTTGACATCCTCTCAGGAGGTGACGACGTCCCTCAAAGACGCAGGACAAAACAACAAGAGAACGAGCAACAGGCAAGTCCTCTCAGGATCTGGTAAGCACCTGTACTGCTGCAATTAATGCATGCGCCAGCAGCGTTTCCCCCGCGTCTGGGTGCGGCCACGGTCGGACGGAAATGTTGTGCCGACCAACCCATGGGTGCTCCGGGGGCGAGGGAGGAGGCCGTGGCAGCAGTCTTCTGCTGCGATTGCTCTCTGAAGCATTCACCACCCCCCCTGCTGATGCTAAGATCCTCGTCTCGATCCTCTCCCACTCCCCATCAGCGACTCCAGCCCCGTACTTGTCACCCTGTCCGCTCTCCCACGCCCCTGGCCGCAAATCCAGCCCCCCCTGCGCTGCGCCGCCTCCTGACTCGCTGTCAGCGTAATCCAAGCTCGTCCCGGTGTCCCTCAACACCAGCTTGCCGGATTCAGGACCAATCCGGTAAGCACCCAGGAATGCAGCCTTGCCCTCCCAGGAAAGGCGAAACCCAAGGAGAAAGCAGGCGAAGCACACGATGAGGAAAGCAGATCCGTGCACAAATGACCGCCGCTCAGGCAATGAGCCATCCGCCGCACCTGAGTCCTGCCGGGGGCCCTTTGCTTTTTGGCCAGGTGGAGTTGAGGAACTGGAGGGTGCTTTCCTCTTCCCCATCATCGTGATGCAAACGGCATTTTCTCTTGGTTACATCCTGCGTGCACCGAAACCTAGCAGAGCGCTTCAGGCTCAGTCCAAACCCAGTCTAAATCCAGCAACAGGTCACCCGGATGTGACTGACATCTCATCCATGCAGCTCTAGGCTCAAAAGAAGCCGCCTCCTTCGTATTGTCGCCCTCACTGGCATCAGGTTTCTGACTGCAGCAGAAACTCTGCACAACCGCGGTGAGGCTGAAAACGGACCCTTTCGAGGAAAGAGGATCGGCTTTGCTTCTGATGCTCCTGGCACCCGTTGCGGTTGAGCTACCTAGCTCCTGACTGTTCCCACGATCTTGTGGCGCCCCTGATCGCCATGGCGCCGCCCATAGATTCTGCAAAGACTCTGAGTCTGATCATACCTGCCCTGAATGCTGCTTGCAGAGCCCGACTGGTAAAAATTTCAAAACACGTGCGCCAAGCTCCAGCCTGCCCCAGCTGGCACGTAGAAGAAAATTCATCCGCAGCCGTTGATCGTCTACAAAACGATCGGACAGCTGAGAGTCCATACTAGCCTTCACTTCTTTGCGAACGTACGGTTGACAGTCTGACGATCGACGACTCAGGATCCTTGGCCTTGCATCCTGAGTCCTGACGGTACTACCTAGCTCAGACCTAGCTCTATCTCAGGTATCTGGCCTGGCGCCGCTGGCGGTGAAAGACGGTAGGTAGAGTTTTGACTACCGGTATCAACGTAACTAGTGTGGATCATGTTGTTTGTGACCTGTGCATTGTGTAGGGACTAGGTTGCCACAGGTTTGCCAGGATGATATTTTGGCATATCAATTTCCCAATGCCATTGATGTTGACAATCAGGGGACATGCGTCTTGCACCAACATACGTCGATCAAATAGAAATATCTTACTGCATCATAAAGTGCAGCATGCCACGATAGAGCCAAAGCATTCAGTGAGAGACCATTCTGATCAAGACTTGACAAAGTCTTTGGCATGCACTTACATGAGCTAGGGTAGTGCGGTGGCCAAGTTTTACCACCATGAAAATGCACCCGGCTTGCCAGTGCACCTAACTAGAACGCCTTTTGGGGATGCATCATGCACGTGCTTTGCATTTGAAGACTTCGAGGCTCATGCATGCTTAGCCTGCTAGCTAAAGTAAATGGTCCTTCAAGAGCTTCCAAGTGCATGTCTGGAATAAGCAGTAATGGCTCTTCATTTTTCGCAAAGCTTGCGACGTGTTGCAACCTAACGGCCAAGACAAAGCCAAATACGTTTTGTGAGATGGAAGGCACAGGTCGAGCAAGGTGCGTAAGCTCTGCAACCCCGCGCAGAATAGCCGAACTCATTGAACACTAGCCGTGCAAACAGGTGCTACACGGCTAGTACGCCCGTCGTGTATGAACTCGTCTTTCAGCACGTACTCAACACGAAGTTGTTTGCAACACGAATGACGCCAATCGTAGTACCTCAGAATGTTCCTACACTAGCGAGCTTTTGTCCCTTTGAGTTCTGCGCCATTTCTCGTGCGTAGGTCGACGCTTCGTACACGTTTTTGGACTGCTTTTTGTAACCCGGCCAGTTCGGTTGCTCGATCCTGCTCGTTCCATCAAACTGGCGGTACGCTGCAGCATGGGCCTCGTCCCGGCACAGGAAGGCCAAGTACCGGGTATCCACCTGCGTACAAGAACGAAGTAACGGTTGAACAAGGCCTCAGCGCTTGTGCTCAGCTTCAGATCTGGGGGATAGTGTCCGTCGATCTATAAGGAGTGGATTGTCGGAGCAACGAAGATGGCTGACAGCGAGCAAGGACTCGGACCCATGAGAGGAATCGTCCGGAAAAAGAGCTTCAATATTGGCCGCTTGACCTACTTGACCGCAACACGTTTTGTTTAAGCTGGAGTCCTGACCATCAACTTGGCAAGAAAGCGCTTTTCGCAGACCATGACAACGGCCTGCAATTGCGCCCTACTGTTCACACAGAACAGGGTTGCAAACGGATGGCCGTCAAAAGTCTCTCGCAAACGGGATCGCACAATTGGATTCGTTGAGTCATGTGGCCCAGCTGACCTGCGGTTTCGACGGCTCCGCCAGTCCTATGGCGCTCCGGTGCACGTGCAGAGAGACGAAGCGCCGCTTCGAGACCTGGAGACGCACGGGGAGGACAAATCACGACCATTGTCATAGTATGTCGGCGATTTGAGAACCTCAGTTCAAGATTTCAAACATTCCGGTTGCACCACAAAGGATTGGGGGAGGACGGGTAGAAGGCCAGTACGCCTTTGCACCGAGAAACCTACTTGCGAGAAGGAATTCGGCCAGATAGAATAGAAATTTGCGAAGAGACATAGGCGGATCTAGGGAGCTCAGAGGATGCAGAGATAGCCAATCCGGTACTTGAGCCGGGCTCGTGGCAGAAAGACAAAAACGTGGTCGGAAGGCTCTAAATCGTATCAAGCTTTTGCTGATGCGGAATGCTGCACCAGGAAGCTTGACTGCAAAAGTAGACTACAAAACGCCTTATATGGAAGACACCTTCGAAGCTTTTTGAAGCCTCAAACGTCTACTTAGCTAAGCTCTTACCCGCACCCGCAAGAACTAGATCGGGGTCCCACCTTAGCCATAAGCTTCACTAGCGCCGCTGGCGTGAGAGCGGGCTCCGTCTGCGCCGCCTGGCTGACGTAACGAAGCGTCACCGCCCCAGGGCCCCGCTCGGGGCCGCCGTAATTAGCCCACAGCGCCTGGGGACCGGCCCCCCACGGCAGCGCCTCCAACCCGAGAATGGGCTTACGCGCGTCAATAGCCTGGCAGCACAAAAAAAGAGAACGGTGTTTCCGTGTTGAAACGGGAAGGATGTTGGCTTTCGCTTCCTGGACGTAAAGGCTATCGGGTCTGTCCGAACGAATTTGCCGGTTCCGAAAGGAGCGTAGGACTCATCACACCTTTCTGCTCTCTGCTTTGATCACCACTGCCGGGAATCTCTTACCGACTCCGAAGCCGGCAAATCAGCAGGTGACTGTCCGCAATGATTGAAAAGAGACAAGCCCGTAGGGCCTTGCTTTCCTCGCGAGCAGGCAGACTCGCGTACCGCCTCTCTGCTGTGAGTGTTCAAAACAGCTCGTCTCACAGCAGCCCACGTGCGCTCGCTTTCTTCCCTCCGGTTCCCATTCCCCGGGCACTCGCCCAGCCTGCTCACCTTAGTCTTCTGCCGCCCCTTCCGGGCGCTGAATTTGCTCCCGGGCAGCTCCAGCTTGCACTTGTCCATGGCGAGGATCTCCTCCACCCAGCCGCGGTACTCTGCCAACGTGGCGCCCTCTGACTGGCCGTCGCTCGCGCTCGTCTCCGCCGTGCTGCTGCCGTCGCGGTGAGCCGGGACCTCGTCCGGAGAGATGTCTTCTTGAATGACGACGAAGTGCTCGATGGATTGCATCAGCTGCGAGCGGGACACCACGAGCCAGAGAACCATCCGTCAGTACTCGACAACTCAGGGACGGGGTGACCGCCTTTAGAAGTCCAACCATTTCGCTCCGAGCAAACGGTCATCTGAATGCCCTTGGATTATTCCATCGTGAACGAAAGTGCATTGATGTTTGAACATGGATTCTCCAGCGGCGTTTGAGAAGGTCACGTCTGCTGAGAGAGTTTTGAGTTTTGATCCAACGCCCAAAGCCAACTTAGTGTTCCCCTTGTGGTGTCAACGCAACTCACGACAATCTGACTCGGTTGGATTCGGTTGCCTCACCTGTCCGATCGAGTCCGAGAACTTGCCGTCCGCCCGCTTCATGGGTATGACCTCCACGTTGTAAATTGGCAGCCCCTCCGGCAACTGGACAGGAGGAGAAGAAGCGGTTTATAAGCATGGTCAACGAACCATCTGAGTTGGAACCTCAGCGTTGAGCATTGCGCACCTGCTGGCAGAGGGAAGAACAATGGGGTCCCGAGATTTGATTATGCGAGGGGGACGAACGTGGAATCCTACAAGTGCACCGCTGTGTTTCAATGGCCTCAGCCAACGTATCAGCGACTGCTTGGGGTGGTAGAAAGTGACAATCTGATGTGTCTGACAAGGGATAGCATCCGACCACAAACGGTAGGCGATACAAGGAACCATTGTTCTCTTATATGGTCCACTCGGAAAGAAAGATTTCAATTCATGACCTCAAGGAGCTTGTCCCTGAGAAGCGGAAGGTTTTGCGTCGACCAGAAAAGTGCTAGGCCTTCCAGCCTCGCATCTCCATTCCAAGTACACCCAGGTAAACTTTCGCACCAGCTTGGTGTGCGTACCGGATACATACTTCTTGGTCCACGCTGGCCTGACAAAGCGTTCCCAACAGGTGCAAAAGCTTAAGATAGTGAGGAAGGCGGCAACCGACCTGAGCCTCCAGCTTTTCCCTGAACTCTGCCGGGGAGGTGGTCCGGTAGAGCTCGATGTCGACGATCTGAATGGAAATCGGAGCGTCAGAGGATGATTGTGTGCAAGCGAAAGTTGGGTCAGTAGCACGGAGAGAAGCTTGCGGACGTATTTCCCCACTGAGACTAGGACGTACATAGATCCAGTTGGACATGACTTGAGAGTGCAGTCCACAAACCCGGTAAATATCCAAAGTTGTATGTGGAGTTGTAACAGGATCGCCGTTGTAATTGAATCGCCAATTGCTTTCATTGGAACACTGATTCGCAGTCGACGCAATCAGTCGAAGTTGCTTCTGCTCTCGCGAGTTCCGGCGACTGGCAAACCCACGAACAGCAGACTTAGAACCTGAAACTTTCAAACCTGCAAAGCTCCATTCCTTGGTAATTGGATTACCCACTACACCAAAAGCCCAACTCCTCAATCCAGGTGCCATTAATCTCGGCGGCGCACTGAATCCTAGCTAAAACGTCTTCGCACAGGCAGCGCGCAGCAAAGCCTGGGAACGTAAAAACGCTGAGGTTCCTGTACCCAAAGATGTGAGTCCAACTACCGAACACATTAAAAATAATCTCAACATTCAGTATCAGGCACCGCTGAGGTCCGCGGTGCTGCTGGCGCCCAGCTACAACACCTCGGCGAGGGCGATGCACGGCACGGTGTAGAAAATCAAAGCCATTAGTCAAAACCGAACAAGCCAAACCCCGGAACTTCAGAAACCAAAATCCTGTCCCTGCTTACCTCTGCGGTGCTGCTGGCTCCGAGCTGCAGCGCCTTGGCGATGGCGATGCGCGGCAGGGCGTGGAAGCCGAAATCATAACCCCAAAACCAAACCTCAAAACTCAAACCCCCGGCAACACTAAAACGTGAAACAAGATCTGGTCGTCAAGTACCTCTACGGTGCTACTGGCGCCTAACTGCAGCGCCTTGGCGATGGCGATGCAAGATAGGGTCTGGAAAGCCTTTCTCGGAAACCCAAAACCAAACAACCGAAACCTCAAAACTTGCAAACGCCAAAACTTTATTCGACTTACCTCTGCGGTGCTGCTAGCGCCTAACTGCAGCGCCTTGGCGATGGCATGTGCGGCGGGGCGTGAAAACCCCGAAATCGAACCACTACAATCTAAAACCAAACAAGCCAAACTCCGAAACTTGGAAAAGTCAAAATCATGTCCCTGTTTACCTCAGCGGTGCTGCTGGCCCCCAGCTGCAGCGCCTTGGCGATGGCGATGCGGGGCAGGGCGTGGAAGCCGGAGTCGTAGCTGACGGGGACCGCGGCGCGGCGGAGGGCCCGCTCGAACAGCTTCTGCAGGTCCAGGTGGCCCACGTACACCATAGTGCCCAGCTTGCCGTAGCGCACGCGCAGCCGCTGGCAAAAAACGGGTGAAAAATGGGGAGAATAGTCAGAAACGAGCTTAAGGATTGAGCCAAGATGACAAAACGACAAAGACGGATGACGTTTACTCGTCAAACTACCTGTCCCGCACCCCTCCCAGATCCAGTGCGGTCACCTTTTTGTTCCGAACTTTAACAAAAGCTTTCGTGAGATTGGACAGGAACAGGGCCTCGACTGGTCACGAGAATGACGAGAGACTTGACAAAAAAACGAATCGCAAAGAGGAACTTATAAAGAGAGTTGCGAGTCGGTTAGACGATGACAACGGATAATGAAGCGAATGAAGAGGTTGGGAGGAGGCTGCGTGGGGATGCGGCGGCGCAGCTGGAGCACAACATGAATGTTTGCCAAAGCCGTTTTCGGACCGACCTTGGGTGCGGGGGCGGTCATATAGCTCCTGAAGAAAGTCCCTCCCGTAGAAGGAAATGTTGAGATGCCACAATATCTGCCTGTATCAGAATAGAGGAAAGCGAAGATCTGACAGCGGAAGTCTTACCTGTATCCTGTCGGAGTTGGGCTTTTGATGGCCCTCGTAGGCGGGAATGGGAGGCACCTCCGCTACGACTGGAGAGGAAAGGGACGTGAAGCGACGTAAGGGACGAGACTGGCGGCACGGGGGTCAGTACGAGCCGGCGCGGCTTACAAGTCAAAGAGTGACATTTATGCCGGTTGACAATCTTTTCGTACAAAGGAGGCTTCGACTCCTTCGCTCGTCGAGTCGACCGGTTGCACAGGCGACAGCTGGTTGGGTTTATTGCGGTAATGAATCGACTGAAAGGGGGCGGGCAGAGAGGAGACCCAGGAACTTGCTAAAAGAGCCTAGAGCAATCAGATAAGAGCAGTTGATGTGGTTACGAAAGGTGGCAGATGCGTTCTAGCTGGAGATATGAGTGCTCACCGTTTTCACCGAACTCGTCACCGCAAACACCGCACTCGGAACAGAGGCCGCTGCAGGGGACAGCCGAAACTGGTTAACGTCTCCAAACATTAACTTAGTGCGACCGGAGGGCTGTCAGTCGCCAAGTAAGAGCGCTCATGCTCTTGCACGATACCTTACTTCAGGTGGACAGGTGAGGGGGCTGATCGAGCCAAAAGCAAACTCATCTTCATCCGCTCCTCTGTTTTGGGAAATCCAACTTCAAATCTCAAGTGGAGGATAGGGGTAGCGTCATGCTCAAGAGCCGGACGCACGACTGACGTCGGTTTCGAACGGCCGGCTACTGTCATGCTTACTCGCAATCTCCCGAAGAAATGCGTACAATACGGACTAGCACGTGGCAGAGCCGCTTGTAGCAAAAGCATGGTTGTTAACATCCAAAAAAGTTGTTCGCCTCCGGATTCAGGGAATGGCCACATGGCTTTGGAAAAGCTGCCTGCAACGCCAGGAGAGCGCCACGTGGCAAATCACGGAGGCGAGGAGCTGGCCCACCTGTGCGAGCAGTCGGGCACCGTGGCGGCCTCGAGCGCGCGCTGCAGGTCGGTCTTGAGCCACCACTTGGTGATGCCCGTCTGCACGGAGAAAGTGAGCGTCGAGATACTAAAGGTGGAGAACCCCAAGAAAACACATGCAGATAGATTGCAAGCATGGAGCCCAAACTCCTAACCGACTGAAGAAACACAGATAGACTGTAGTGTACTGGAATGTTAAAAGAGTTTTGAAACGACGGGGATGACACGCAGTATGATTGGAAGTGGCTCGGAAAACGGTCAGGTCAGCGCCGAACTTTGAGAAATCTCAACGCTCTTTCACCACGGGGCCCGATCTCTGTTGTCATCACTTCACTTCGACATTTTTAGCTACTTTTAGGATGATCCCGTGAAGGTTTGAGCCACACCGGCGCAGGTCAGGGAGCTTACATCGACGGTTCCCCAAGCAGATGACAGTCTCCTTGCCCCCCGCCCTCCCTCCTTCGTCTCAACAGATTTACTCTCTCTTCTGAAGATGTTTGGAAAATCTGTCACTAAGCCTCTGGGCAATTCAAGGGCTGACTTCGACGATGTCCCAGGGCTGAACACAATTTCGTTTTTTCGCCCTTCCTCTCAACAGGCTTCCCCACTTGTAGAAAAACCCTGAACCTTTTGTCGAGCCTCAGAATCTTGGGAGTTTCGGCAAGACAGAGTCGCGCAGGTTAAGGGACTCACATCGACGATGTCCCAGGGCAGCGGCATGTCCAGTCGCGGGTCCGCCAGGGGGCCCCGGTCCAGGCGGCCTTTTCCCCCCCCGCCCTGGCCCCGGTACTGCCCGTCGCCCAGCTTCTCCAGCACGTTCCATTCGCCCGCTTCTACCTGCCGGGAGAGCACAAGAAGCACGTGATAAGCAGTGTTTGTGTGGAGACGACACGTGGCATCAGGGCACGTTTCGATTTCCCGCTTCTACCTACAGGGAGAGCACAAGAACCACTCGATTAGTAGTGTTTGTGGGGAGACGACGCGTGGCATCAGGACACCTTCTATTCGCCTGCTTCAACGTACAAGACCACCACAGCTGTCCGATAAGTGATGGTCATGAGGAGATTACACCTGGCATCCCGGCACACTTCATTTGCCTGCTTCAACCGAACAGGGAGACGACCACAGTCATTCAATACAGATTGTTCGTGAGGAGACGGCACGCAAAATCCGATTTCACTCGCGTGCTATTACCTTGAGGATAGCATCAAAGCCGTTTCCAGAGCAGTTGACGAGATGACACGTGGCATCCGGGCTTGTTCAGCCAGGTCAAGAACTAGGCAGGGACAGGAGCATTTGTTTGTCGGAACGGGGTTGTCCGAACCGGGGAGTTTTACAGAGTCTGAGAGCTGGACGAAAAATGATCCAGGTGACACTTGCACGGCACTGTCAAGGACACCGGATCGAAATATTCTCTCGGGTGGGTTGCATCAATAACTGGGATTATGCGCCGACACCACGGTGGCTTTGAAAGCTCGGCCGAGAAGAAGCAGTCCAGACCTGGTTTCTTCGACGTCGAAGGAAAAAAAATGCATGCTGCTCGGCAGCCTTGCCTGGCGATACTTCCAGTCCATCCCCGCGTCCTTGATCGCCTGCCCCCACTTTTTGTAGCAGCTCTCGTACTCCATCCACCACCCGTCGTTGCGAGCGCCCAGCTCCCACGCGCGCCGGATCACCGCGCCAATCCTGCGGTGAGGAACAAGGGGCCTAAGCGATATTTACGGTTGAGAGCTCGTCCATGTCCTAAGATCCTTGTGAAGTGAGCGGGTCAAATAGCCACGCGCAGATCCTACGGGGACAAGAACGAGCGAAGAGGTCGATACTTGTTCACGTCTCAATATCAGTTGCATTGTCGTTTAGGCAAACCCGATGAGCAAACCGGGAGCCCGAGGGTTTTCAGCCGCTTTAAAAGTTAATCCCATTGAAGGTGCAACCTTTTTACGAACCTCAACAACCAAACACCTCGTCGGCTCTCTGCTGACGAAGCCCACTATCACAACGGCTCGGCCAAACTCCTCTGCCCCAGTTGATACGCACCATACACGCACCCCTCCCCTAGAACTTAGGACCGCCCGCCGCCCGTGCCTCCTGCCAAGAGAACTCTCCTCAATCAACTTTCCTCCCCAGAAACATAGTTGTCCCTTCCCTTTCTCGGGCACCTTAGACTCGCACCCGAGATGTTGCACAGCCAGTCTGCAACGCATTCGCTGCGAAATGTACGGAAATTGACAATATACCTTACCCCCGACTTTTGTGGGAACTATCGAACACTCTGTCGAAAACAGCATCTTGGGTGCGAGGTCAAGGGACCCGAGTCTCTCAAGCATCAGATTCACTCACCGCCTGTCCCCTCTGCTGATGAAGTCCTCCATGGCCGACAGCTCTATTGTCGAGTAGTTGACGCTGATCCCGCGCGTGTCTCGCAGCGCGGCTTTCAGCAGGCCCTGCTTCCGCCGCAGCTCGTCCGTGCTCTGGCTGTGCCATTGGAAGGGCGTGTGCGGCTTGGGCGTGAAGCTGGACACCGTCAGCTTGAACGACATTGCGGTGCCGTTGCGGTCGCGGCACTGGGACTGCAGCCACTGCAAAACGGAAGAGCGGAAGCAAAGGTTAGAATTGTCGTTATGTTGTTTGGTCTTAGAGTGAGGTTGGGGGTTTGAAGACTTGCTGAACGGAGTTGCGGTGCTGCGGTCGCGGCACTGGGATCGAAGCCACTGTAGAGCAAAGTATGGAGATGCATTTCGGTAGAAGCAAAAATGTAAGATTCGTCCCAGACTCTTCGTCATGGTCCTGTAGATGAATGCGCCGCCTCCGGCAAGCACAGTCTCTCCGGCTCACACGACACCGGAGCTCGGCGACGACCCACTCACAAGACTGGGTGAATCAACAAAGGAAGCGCAAACCGCTTCAGGCCGCCCGCTCGAACCGCCGCCTCACCTGCACCGTCTCGGCGATCCCGATGACGTCAGCGTCCGTCTCGCCCGGCAGCCCGATCATGAAGTACAGCTTGACCTGCTTCCACCCGCGGTCCCACGCCGTCTTGACGCCCCGCAGCAGCTCCTCGTTCGTCAGGCCCTGTGTCGGAGAAAACGAAGATTTTCAAAGGGGTCGGTCTCAAACTCTGGCGGGATGTTTGGAGGTTTACGTACTGCGAGTATCGCAGTAGTGCGGCGAGTTGCCCGCTCGGATATGGAGCCTTTCAGCAATCGTAAGGGGTTCTTAGCAGCCCTTGTAGAACGGAACATCGAGAAGAGTCATTAGAAGCAACCGAGGCCGACCGACCGTCAGACACCGAGGCCTGAAGTGAGCTCCGGCGTATCCGACATGGGCAGCGGCGCGAGAGCCAGCGTGCTACTGACTGCGTCTCGTTGGATCCTCTCCATGTCTTGCCCAGGAAGCAGTAGCCGTGACCATGAACCGTAGCGGCCACCCCCCAATCCCCCTGAAAATAATGACCATTCTCAGGAAAGAAATTGACAAGCGAAGGCAACAACAAGCCACGGCTAGCACAGCAAAGGCAACAACAAGCCACGGCTAACACCGAAAATTTTTAACCCGGAGACTTACCTGCTCCAAACCCTCCCACCAAAAAAGCCAAACTAATCCTACCTGTCCAGCGCAGTGACCATATGACTATCTCAGCTTGGTCTATCATCTCAGCTCAACCAATCCTTCTCAAGATTTATGGAGAGACTCCGATCCTTCACACCTTGTTGATGATGTCACGCATGCGCTGCGTCCCCCCCTCGGGCGCGAAGGTGAGCCCCGTGGTGCGTGTTCCCCCCACGATGTTGGCAATGTTGTCGTCGAAGCGGTCCACGCGCTGGCTCGGCAGCGCCAGCGTCACCGCGTCGTCCTTCAGCCGGTTCTTGATCTGAGACACACAGTTCCAAACCGCCTTGATTCTCCTGATGTTCAGTTTCAGAAGTCCTTGATCTGAAACACGGAGTTCCAGGAGGCGTCCTCTCGTCATACGTTTTGCTTGTTAAGTTGGGCTTTTCCTGGTTTTATTTTCCCGAGGAGTTCATGATTTTGCTTGTTGTGCTGTCGGAACACTTGGGTGCCCCGGCTGAGGGAAAGCCTTCGTTCCTTGCGCCATGCCTGGAAGCGAAGCATACCTAAAATGGCGCAAGCATCAAGCTGCGTTGAAGCCAACTGCCCAATGCTAGGGACAGGAAGTTTAGACCTTCATTGACAACCCGGAGTTCGAACCGTTTCACCCAAGCCCACCAATCTAAAGCGAAAAAGTTGAACCGTTGCTCCAAACCCAAACAGCCCGTAACACGCCTCGGAAGCGCACCTCGAGGCCGACGGCGGGCAGCGCGAGGTAATCGGAGCAGGAGAGCGAGAGGAGCGAGAACTCGTTGTAGCCGGTGCGGCGCATGCCCTCCTCCACCGCCTGGACGACGTCCTCGGGGGGGACGTCTCGGGCGGGGCGGGTCAGCATGCCGGGCTGGCAGAACCGGCAGCCCCGGGTGCACCCCCTGGGGCGGGTTAGCGTGCGGGTTAGAAAGGCGGGTTGAGTGGATTTTGAAGAATTTGTTTGTAAGCGGCAGCCACACGTCTAATCTCTTGGGCGGGAACGGCGCGGGTGAGGGTGCAGGTTAAGAGATTTGGGAAAAAAGCTGTGAGTGAATCAATAGACTCAGGCACGGTTGGCTGGCAGAAGCGGCCGCCCCGGGTGCACCCCCTGGGGCGGGGTTAGAGTGCGGGTTACTGAGCGGGTTAAAGCTTTCAAGTTGTATTCGTCTTTCCGGGGCGGGGTTTGAGATGTGGGTAAAGGAAAAAGGAGCGTGCCTGCGAGTCCAGAATCTAATCAGAAGCGGCAGCCCGGGTGCAACCCCGGGGCGGGAGACACGCAGATTACAGATTACAGTGTGGGCTAAGAGCATTCGAAGATGAGTTTGTATGCAAGTCAAACGCTGGGTTAAAAGCGGCAGTCCCCGGGTGCCATTTTTGGGAGCGTTGGCGCATCGATGTCGGTTAATGAGGCGGCAAGGATAAGCGGAAGACGGACTTGGAAGCGGGTCCAACTTTCGGGCTACAAATTGTTTCGAGAGCCACAACCCCGGGTGAAAGAAAGTGTTATGATGGGTTGTAAGATTGGTTGAGAACGTGTAAAGGAGTTCGATATAAATTACCGGGCTGAGAGACGATGGTGGGCCAGACAAAACGCCGGTATGATCCAAAGGAAGCAAGGGCAAATCAAACAACAATCGTATCCTGAACCGCGATGTGAACGCATCCTGTGCCAGTGCTCGGGAGACACTCAAAACTAGGGGCGCTCGACCGGGAGTGGGGAGCAGTGCCAGAGTGTCACCGGGTCAGGCTGACCTTGTTAAAACCTGTCCATCGTTTCGATTCGCCTTCTTTTCGAAACTCTGTTTTCTTATCTTCTGCGCAGCAGTAAGTCGACACAAAGAACCGCATTCGAAAAAACGCCAAAGAACGGTAACAGCTCACCTCCTGATTTCGACCGTCAGCCGGTCGTGAATCGTTTCTACATACGGCACCAGCCCGATCTGCACGAACGGATTTGGAGCCGCCACTCGTCGCAGTATCCGCTCGGGAACGCCCTCTCGGATGGGAAAGACAGCGCCGCCGAAGCTGCGGCACAGGTACAGCGGAATATGAGCGGAACCCTTTCTTTGAATGCTTGAGCGTTAAGCTGCGAGCGTAGAATTCAAGATATAAGTCAATGACTTCTTGTGTACGTTGACCGATCCCAATCGTCAAGCCGACCGCTCGTGACCTCAAAACCGACGCGTACGTGGAATGTTTTTTTTTGCCCAGCATTGTGGAAAAACAAAAGCAGAAATCTCACATCGCTTTCAGCCTACGAACGTGGAGCAACCCAACTCTCCGGCTCGCAGCTGGCAAGCTGCTCAAATATTGAAGCGCTCGTACACTGCGGTATTTACGACTTCCCACCATAGTGCCAGCAGCCTGCCGTTCGTCACTCAAGTACAACAACCGATCTCATCACGGAAAAACCTGACCAGATTATCTATGCACCAGATTTTCGAACAAGAAACTCTCTTCTGCTTCAGCCTGATGTGCTCACCCCTCGAGCCGTTCGTAGAACTGCGGCACGTACACCCCTCGCACCGTGGTGCAGAGCCGGAAGAGCGTGGCGTCGCGGGAGAGACCCTCCGCCTTACATGTGTCCAGGCACCGGCCAATCTCCGGGAGGCACTCTTCGCCGTCGCCCAGAGCGAAGAAGTCGAAGAAGTCGGCGAAGGGCTCCGGGTTGGACGTGGCAGTGGGGCCGCCTGAGGAGGATACGTCGAGAATGAGAGGGCCGATGGACGATTTGTGAATTGAGTGCGATTGGCGCTGAAAAGAACGGCGGTGCCAATCGGCGAGAGGGGCGTGCAAAAATCCGAGGTCTTGCGTCGAAGGAGGTAAGAGGAAAGCACGAAGCAGAACGGAATGCGGAAGGGAAGTCTGAGATCTCGTACTGGAGCACGAGAAGGTTTTGTAGCTCCGAAGTAAGAAGCGGAGCCGGCGAGACTTGCACAGAAGTGAGACGGCTTCTTGGCTTCGAGGCTGCGGAAGAGCTGTCAGAACCCGTGGAAGGAGAACGTGGACCAAATTCGGACCTTTCGGAAACCCATCACCGTTTTGTACCCTGAACAATAGTATTGGCCGGGGATCATCGATAGCTCCGGAGACTGTACCGGACCGCGTGTCGACCCGGTGCCGCACTACGGCCGCTAGCGACTGTACCTCGGTACACCGTACCAGCTATGCAGCCAGTGCAGTTTCTAGGAGTCAGGACCTCGAACCGGACTGCGCGCTGGAAAGGGTACTACATTGTGGTAGGGTTCCGAAAGTGCGAATTTGGTCCACGTTCTCCTTCCACGCATTCTGTCAGGAGGACACTTCGGCAGTGGTACCCTGTCCACGGCAAACCAGCAGGTCCCTACGAATCTCGATGTGCAAGCGGCTCTGAGATTTGAGCATTGTCGATTCACTTGTGGCACCTCACCCGCAAAGATGAGCGGCCAGCTGCCGCCCTCGACGTCCCACTTGCCGTCGGCGCTGGCCTGGCGCTCTTTCCAACTGATGGGGATCCCCGATAGCGCCAACATCTCGAGGATGTTCGTCGCCCCCAGCTCGTACGCCAGGCTGAACCCGAGTGCGTCGAAGTCGGCCAGGGAGCGCTTTGACTCCACAGCAAAGAGGGGAAGCTGGTACTTCCTGTGGGAGCAGGGTGAATGGTGAATTGACGGGGGTCGATGATGCCAGGGGTCTGGTGAGACGAGGGGAACGGATTGGTGGGGTCGGATCAAGAGCACTGTGCTCAATGGATTATGTAGCTTAGGTTGCATTCGAGTCTTTATCGAGCAGAGATGCGGCATGACGAAGGAAAATATAGGCAATGTTCTGCAATGGTTGACTGGTTGCAGAAGCGGCCAATTGCCTTGTCGTCCGGAGTCTTTACCTCTGTGCAAAGACCTGCACGAAACCTCGTCTCCGTTTGTGAATCCCAAATCAGGGACATGTCCACACTCGTCGAGGGTCTCGATTTCATTCAAACCGGTGTAAGTCCACTTCAGGGGGAACTTAAAGAGACTGAACTTCCACTCTCATCCGTACTGAATCTGAAAACCGTCGTCTTCTCACATGGGTTGTCTCATTCGCACATTTCACCAAAAACCTGTCGGCGAACGTAGTAAGCTCACTTGAGGAGGAGTGCAAGATCGGTCCCTGGCATGTAGCTGCGGTCGCAGAGCATGTGCGGCTGATCATTGAGCAGCGTGTACAGCATGACGTGGCCCATGTTGGACGCCCCAATCTCGTACTCCTCCGGGTAGGTCAGCGAGAAGCGCACACGCGCGCTCGCCCACTCCTTGTGCACCGCACCGAACTCGTTGCCCAGGTACCGCGTCGGCTTTTGAATGCTGGGGGGAAGTGAAAAGGGGGCCATTTTATGTAAGGGGCCGAGAGAGTTTGTCTGACTGACTGGCTGAGTGTATTGGGTGACTTCTTGAAAGAAGGACCTGGTGAATGTCATTGAGGCATGGAACTGACAGCTGCGCTTCCACACCAGTCTGGATGATTCGTGAGGTGTGAACCAACGGGCGCCCTCCGAATGTTTTGGGCAGAGTAAGTATTAAGATCGGGCGCGCCTTCTGGGGAAGGCTGGAGAGGTGGAAACTAAAGGTTGCATCTGGTTAGTGAGGTAAAAAGGAAAAGGATGGCAGTGCCTTCTATCATGCACTGGAGTTGTCTTCTTGCGGCACCACCAGTGCAGGTGCACAAGTTTGTGTCAGGAGCCAAAAGGGGGAGTCTACAGGAGACACCACCTCAGAAAGGCAGGGATGCCAAAACTTCAATCTTACAAAAGAGCCTAAGACGTCAGGACATCCCGCCTGGGCAGGCGGGCTTCGCAACCACCCCACCATCGAAAAAAGGTCGCCGCTGAGCCCGATGGACAGAAAAACAGCTTTCGTCCCTGACTGTTACACCACCCTTTTCAAAACTTCCATTCTCTGTTTGCTCACCTGACCCATTCATGTCGAGGTATCCCCGCTATTGCCCCGCCCTCCGATGACCTCAGCCGGCGCTCCTCCTCTGCCTCGCGAGCAGCCCCCACATTCTCCGTACGGCGTTCCTCACCGCTCTCTTTCTGCTCCGTCGCCAGCATCGCACTTGGCGGCCGCTTCTTCTCTGATTGGCAGTTTGAGCTTGGGATTCTACTGCTTCTTGCCAGAGCCAAGCGCAGCGCCCCGGCACGGCGCTCGAGCCCCTCATTGGCACTCAGTGGCACCGTTCGTCCTGTAAGCTGGTCACAAGGGTTATTACGAGCCCATCGCTGGTGAGCTTTGAGAAGGCAGAGAGTTGCGGGTTGAGCAATGCTGTGCATGTGAGACACAGAGGAGCCAACTGAGTGGACGCCAAGAAATTGTGCTCCGGGGCAGGCAAAGCTAGTCATCGACACCTGGCTATAAGCCATCGCGGCGACCCTGCTCTCCGCCCCTACCTTTTCACGTGGCCGCTGTAGTGTCAAGCAAGTGGGCCTTCTGCGATGGATGTGTTCAAACTCTACGAGCAGCTGGAAGTGGAAGCTTCAGCCTTTACTAGGGGCGGCCCGCGGAGCTTTGTTGTGGTGTTTCCGCCAGCAAGCCTAGCCTATCCAGTCTTGAGCTGGCAGCTCGAGGGGAGACGTCGAGACAAATTCGCAGCTTTGCGTTCGACAGCGTCAACGTATGGTCGTCCGATGCATCCCCGTTTTAGCCGGGTCTTTCGAATATGTAGCTTGGCAGTAATGGTCTGCTCGACTTCCGAACTCACTGGGCTCGTGTCTCCTTCTCTTTATTTCGTATACTGCGGTTTGATCCGCGAGGAGCAAAACCAAGCGCATATGGAAGTCTTGCGGCCCAAGTATTCGAACAAAATATGGCTGATATATGTCATGGTGCTAACATATGCAATGCCTGTCCTGGCATGAGGAAACAGAAGCACGGCCGGACAGGCTGAGGAGGCAGCCGCATTGTGAAACTTAAAGGAAGGAGCACAAAACCTTTGCACAAAAAACGCTTGCTTCCCGAATTGTCTTATTGGCCTTCCTTCCTGCTTTCTCTGTGCCCACTAATATCCCCCGAGTGTTGCATGTCAGCTTCACCATAGCGACTTAGACAGTTATTTGGGAGCGTTGAGGACCTCCAATTGGGACCAACAAAGGGAGCCAAAATGGTAAGAGACTTGCCTAAATACAGTTTGCACGCTGGCAATTGCGTCTAGGCCCATCAGAGGTATGCCCAGGTTCTTGAGCAAGAGCAGGCATTTATCGACTTGCAATTGAGTCTCAGATCATCCAGTGGTGCTCACAATTGCCTGATCCATGTGTGAAGTATGCTCTTAGAAAGCATGCAAAATGGTTAAAATTGTCAATACTTTATTACGTGCTGTACTTCAGCCCGAGAGCTTGTCTATCTGCAGAACTTAGGAGCAAAGGGAAACCAAAGGTGGTGTGCCTTTAATCAAATTTTCCAGTGACGGTGGTATGTGAGAATCTCACTGAAATCAACTTGAAAGCCAGACAGGTGACCAAGAGTGTGGTTCTTTGCAGTCTATGTACGTCAGAGTGAAACACAAAAAGGTGACCTACTTTTTACACGTTGAGCCTTCTGACTCAATCCTGGAAGTCAAGGAGAAGCTCCAGGCACTCAGCGAGCAGCCGGTGGATCAGCAACGACTGACTCTGGTCTCGACGGGGCAAGTTTTGGAAGATGGAAAGACGCTCGCTGAGCAGAAAGTAAGTAAAGACTCCCCATCTCCACAAAGGGCAATCCTTGTGTGAACAAGGGAAGTTCCTTGAAGTTGTGGGGCTTTGGATTTTCAGCCTTTTTCCGAACATGTTCCTGATGAATTGCAATTTCCTGTGAGCTGGTCTCAGACCCTTATGTTTTGATGAGCCCTTCTGCCTTTGCGTGAAAAAGCTTGTATCTATTTTCCAGGTAGAAAATGATGCTGTCGTAGCCCTCCAATATAAACTTCCAGGTGAGTTTTTCAGTAACCGGAGAGAATCTTCAAGATACAGCGTAAATGGTTCAGATGCATTGATCAGCCTATGCATCCTTCTTGCATCTGGTTGGAACACGCCCCGAATACAACGTCAATACAGGAGATGCGACAGCATCTTTACCATGTCTGCCCTTGTTTTGTTGTATACATGATCAAAACCTGCTCAAACAGCCCAGACATTAAAGTAAAGCAAAGAAGGATGTTGCCCCTGCCTCAGCCAACAGTTGCTAACCTGCTTCTGTTCCCAAACAAGTTTCTGAATGTGTTTCTGCAGATTCAGACCAATACGAGGAAATCGATATTCAAAAACATGACATAGACGATACAGCAGAACCACACTCTTAGTTCAAGCAGAAAGTAGTCCTTCAAACAGGATAATTGTACATAAGAACGCATACTATTTCAAAGCAGTTTATTTGGCGATTATGAATGTGCCCTCCTCTGTGGATGAGAGTGTGCAAAGGGCCGGCAACTGCAATCGTTGATGGGGTCCTCATTGTCGATTGACTAAAAGGAAACCGGCATCAACTAACAGGAAAGGTATAAAATAGGCTGTATGCATACAGTGCGCAGGTGTGTTTCTGAAGGGACCCGATCATGTCAGGCCAGCTGCTATGTTAAGTTCGAAGTTTAGAAGATTGGAACTTTGATGCATGATGTCTTCATGTGGAGTCACTTGACCAGCAGAATAGTGACAAAGGCAGGCAGCCCGAAGATCCCGTCGCGTTATAATCTAGCTGTCATTCATGGTTGGATATTATATGTATCAAATTGGCGTAGGCCTCGCGACGTACGTGGATTTGGCATGCCAGCCTCACATGCAGTGCCGCGACGCCGCCCGGCTCATGGTGTGCAATCTTTCATGCTCGCATTCAAGTGTTATATATTGCCGCTATTAAATTCGATGACTCGATTAATGAATACAGATCAATGATATTAATTATCTATAGCTGCCCGGCGGCCAGCTGGGAATACTGGCAACGCTCGCTTGCACTATGATACGTAGCTCCCGGGCACCCAAACTAAAAACCCTAACCAATTACAAACAACGCGCTCCGCACCCGTACCCACCCTAACCCCCAGACTAACCCCACCCGTCCCCCGGGTGCCTATCTTAGTGCAAGCTGCTCTTAGTGCAAGCTAGCGTTGCCAGACTCAGCTGGGACCGCATGGCCAGGTCATATGCATATAGGATTAGAGCTGCAGCCGTCAAATGAAAATGACTTTAAGAAGGCACATGAGCTGATCATATACATTAACGCAATTCTTCCGAATCCACAATATACAATCGGATACTAACAGAGAAATAAAATCGAAATCTGCTTTTTAACGCTGTTGATATGCGTCATGCCATGCATCTGATCTTTCGACCAGCCGTAGGTAGCCTCCACTTGGATGTGCGATGGAAAAGTCAATATTCTTCGCAAGTATTGTGGAGACGTAAGTATACAACACGTAGTTTATCGCTCATGCAGTCGGTGCTCTGTCACCAAACAGGAGGCATGGACTATGTACAATGATGACAAGCGGACTCACAAGCACCGGCTGTGAACAAATATGAGAGCAGAGACTTCCGGTCGTCCTAAAAAAGGCCGCCTTCCTCTTGCAGAAAGTGGGCAAGCCTTCACCACTACCGAAACCAAAAGCTTTTGAGGTACGTCAGAATCAGAACAGTTCCTACGATGATCACATACGGCGCCCATTTCCTTATCAACGCCTGCAGCAAACACATCGGTTCGTTGGCGATTGAGAGGATAAGGAAGCATATGCGAGAGCCAAAAGGGGCAAAGAATGACATGAGAGCATGAGGCAGCTTATGAAGAGTCGTATGAAGAGTCGATGCTAAAGAAGAATAATCACAGAACTCAACTTACCTGTCGACTAAGATCCTCCGCTTTCTTGGCATAGATGCGCGACTCGGATGTCAGGGTGTTGGACATCCGTGTGACATCTGCATAACAGCAGCAGTGACCAGCATTAAAGGCAGGCTGAAAGGTCTCAACCTTTGATGAGTGGACTGACAGGGTCTGAACACAGATCAAACTTTCCCCTTCTCCGAAGCCAGGACGCACCAGAGATTCTACGCCCCCATGGCGCACAAATATAAATCTCAACTGAGCATTTTGATGCCTTATGTGTCTTACAAACGTGAGAGGCTTTCAACCTCCTCAGCGTCAAAAGAAGAAGACTAACCTAAACAACGCAATCAACAGATTAGCAGTCAAAAGATTCAGGTACTCTGCATTCCAAATGATCGCTTGTAAGGATCTTTCCATGTTGGAATAACAGTGAGCTCTGCAAGCGAATTTACAGATGCAGTTTGGCTGTACGTCAAGCTCTCTGCAGAAGTGATGCTCGCAAAATTCTGCTAAGACATGGACTTCTTCAGACTCTGCGTGAAAGACACCGAAAATGATGATACAAAGTCAGCAAGGGCAAATGAACCTACTGTCGAGCCTGTCTCCCATCCCCAACACTTCCTGAATGTTCCGAGTCATAATCTGTTGGACTTCGTGAAGATCGTCTTGCAGCTTGTTCAAGTTCCGCTGCGTCTTTGTGTCCTGATATAACTTCTTTGTTTTTTGTATGAACGTGTCTGCATCAAGAGAGTTTGTCAAAAGCAGAATTGATATCTTGTGGTGCAGACACCAACATCAATCTGTCGGGTTTCCTTGACCAAAATGACAGCATTGCTTGTCTGGTGACTGCCGGTTAGCAATTGCTGACGGAAAGCAGAAGCTTGTGGGGCTTCGATCGAGCAAAAACCTGGGTATACTCCTCTGCAGCTTTGGGAAGAAGACCCTCACTGTTGAGCCAGACACTACATATGCAAAGGGAGACTTCCGACGCAAAATCAAACAATGAGAGCGATTGATAACCGACGATATTGATTGTAATGTTTCCGAGGGATGGGCAATACATACGAACCGTATACTGCTGTCCCACCGGCACCATCGAGATCCTGAAAGGGACTTACCAAATTTGATGAAGGCATAAGGCCTTGCCACCGTCTCAATCTGTTCTCGGTTAACCTTCTCAAACTCCTTTTGAAGGTCCTCGAGATACTGATATGCGAGCTTCTTGGGGTAGGCCTTTTCACACACGGTCAGGTAACATACTCCGCCTTCGATGATGTAGCTGACAGAATTGAGATGTCAAGGTGCCAGACTTTAGCAGTAAAGTGAACAGCAAGTCCTCAACTTAGGCATCATTTCAACCCCTTGCCTGCAGTGGCGTCATTTCAACCCCTTGCCTGCAGTAGCATTCCAAGGATTGTCACAGATGAACAGAGAAAATAATCTATGCTCAAAACATCCGGAAGTCATTGGAAACGTGAACTCTTTCAGCATGCAGACAGAGCAACTAAAGCTGATCATGAGGATACTGGAAAACGTAAGGTCCCGACTCGTACGACATTCTGGATGCAGGCGGCGGCCCTTGCGACATCTTCTTGAAAAGCTGCTTTGCTTGCTGCTTGTAGACTTCCAAGTCCCTTTGATCCCTGCCATCATCCAGCCCCTCTGCTAGAGGCAACCCGTCCGTGACTCTGGCAATCAAGGTAAGTTTCACCATTGTCCCCACCTTAACTCTTGCTACAAACGAACCAACGCCCACTGAGATCCAATTACTGGTCTGCCGCTGTACCGAATGCGGAGCGCAAAAAAGTCAAGAAAACGGGCGCGTTCTTGCAGCAGCCCGGTTGGTTGCTAGCTTGTCCAATTCTTTTTTGCTGCGGCAATCTCTGTAAGGTTTCTGGACAAAGTTGAGTTTGACAGCCCTGCTGGCGTGCGTTCAGCTCTTCGAGAGGGCAAAATCTTTGTGTAGAAGAGCTGGTGGGCGCTTGAAGTTGCAAGCTTCACAGGCAGGATCTACCTCAGCCTGTGCTTTCACTGTTTCAGAAGTTTCACCGCAGTGCTTTCTTCCTGCTTCCAGGAGCTAAACCCAGCTAAAACCAACCTGGCTTCTTCTTCAAACCGAGCGGTTATCTGAACCCGCGACCGCATGCCGTTGTCGGGGACCCTGGGCAGAAAACTGCTGGGTTACAAACGTGGTCACATGCAGAACCCGGGTCAAAAAAGTTCCGGGGTTTCTCCCACTAACTTAAGCTGATTTACTTTAAGCTAGTAATAGTGAAGGCTTCAACTTCAAGTTCAGGTGGCTTCAAGTTCAGCTAGGGGGATTGCTTGACGCCTAGCTCCAGATGGCACTTCAGCCATTTTGAGCGTAGGAGACAATGCTGGGATAGAGACGGGGCAGCAAGACGGCTCGTGCTGCTGTCAGCATCCCTGTGCTCTTTGTGATCATGAAGAGCTGGGACAATGTCGTGAAGAAGCGTGGGCAAGAGATACAAACTTTCATCCTCAAGTCTCACAACTGTGCGGTTGAGTTTCCTGACAATCCTAAAAAGCCCTTTCAAACCCGACAGCTGACTGGTTGACTAATAGCTGTTGATTGTTAGTTGACTGGTGAACTTCAATCAAGCTACTACTTTAGGATTTGCAACGACGTTGGACATTTCCTTGGCAATTAAGGTCTCTTTGACATCATCGTTCAGAGCGGTGGCACAATGTCCATCATTGGTCGGATGATTGAGAAGATCTATGGACGGCCAGAAGTGCGGGTTCTTTTGTTGGGCCTGGACGCAGCAGGCAGAACCACCACTCTGTATAAGCTGAAGCTGGGGGAGATTGTCACCACCATCCCCACCATTGGTCAGTCTCCAAAGCCCCTTGCTCCCACAAAAGTAACAGCCTTGAAACACCATCTGTATGAATTGTGAACACCTTTGCCATGAATGCCGCTTTGAGTCATGCATGTGCAATGTTGCACATGAATTGGAGAGGGCCTTCCAGTCGTGGGTGGTCAAGCGGCTTGATTGCCGCAATGGTGGTGATCAGACTGAGAGCAGTAAAAAGAAAATCCCGGCCTTGTTTTCCTTGTATATCTGTGTGATTGTTTCGCGAGTCGCCAGACTTTACTCAGCAAGAATTGAAGCTGTCTGGAGGGCCCTCTGGCCATGACTTCAATCAAGTGCCTTTGCTAGCTCAGATCTTTTACACCATTTGTTTCAAATCAACGCTGCTTGATGAGCACAACCCCCAACACAGGAGGCCTTGACATGAGACAGTCCTGGTTTTCCAGATCTCAAACAAGTAAGTTGAGGTCAGTATGAGGCCCCTTTGTTGCGAATGGGCTTTTCTAGCACCTGACCTGACGGCCTTGTTTTCTCCAGGCTTCAACGTTGAGACCGTCACGCATGGGGGAACGTCCTTCACGATGTGGGATGTCGGGGGCTGCGACAAGATCAGGCCTCTGTGGAGGCACTACTTCCAAAATACGCAGGCTCTCATATGGTAAGCTGGGGCCGTATCTTCAAGGAGAACTTGTTGCATCTTCTGGTGGAAATATGGGCATGATGGTCGTGAACTCTGGTTTTGGCACTACTTAGAAGCTGACTACTTAAAACCTCACCCGCTTTGAGCCTGATACTCTGGCCTAGCTTGACCGCCTTCCTCTGATTGAGACTTTGGACAGGAAAGGTCAGTCCCCAAAATGAGAGAAAGACAAATTGAAGCGTTTTGATGCCTTGATGGGGCCTGCAAAGGATATGTTGATAAAGTGTGTTCCATGGGAGCACCGGAGCCCTGACCCTCCTGCCTTTATGGTGATTGCAACTTCAGATTCTCAGTCACGCTCATCCCCTTTGATAAGCAGCGGTGCATGATCACATCCCGACTTTCCACTACTACAGTCACAACATCATTTGGAGTGACCCAGTGCTCGTTCATCCTACGACCAAAGTGGTGCAAACTGATCTCTCATCCTCGATTCTATTGCGTTGCCCTTCGTATAACAAATGTCACTGTAGGTCTGGCTGCGCAGGTTCGCTCACTCGTCTGACCGAGACAGGGTCGATGAAGCGCGGGAGGAGATCCAGAGACTGTTAAGTGAGGAGGTTCTCCAAGACGTGCCTTTCCTAGTTTGGGCAACCAAGCAGGACCTTCCCAACGTGATGACTCCAGAAGAGGTGCGCTCCAACCATCAGCATCTTTTCAAATGTGTCACTGACTGCTTTCAGCCCACGAGAGGGGGCAACTTCCTCTTCCGTTATTCCGCCGGCCACAATGACTATGTCACAGTTGTCCTTTTCCTGGCAGTTCTGACCGGCTCCAATGATGACGTCACAGGTCTCCGTCTTTCGGCAAGTTCTGACCGGCCCCCATCATGACGTCACAGGTATCCTCAAAGCTTGCCCTTCAGAACCTCGACCGCCCCTGGGCCTGCATCGGCTGCTCGGCGTTCACCGGGGAGGGTCTCTACGAGGGTCTTCAGTGGATCCAAGATGCTCTTCGAGCCAAGAGAGGGTCGGGCCGAAAGGAAGCGGGCCCGGCGCGCGCGCCTCCGGAGCTGTCCACCAAGGAGAAGGAGATGGAGGCCCTGTTGCAGCAGTGGCTGGAGCAGGAGGACGAGCCAGACGACGAGTTTCTGGACAAGTTTAGGTGAGGGAACCCGGAACAGGGCATTGCTTGGCAGGCAAGCTCTCGCCTCCGGAAAGTTGCATGGTTCGATAACGAGGAAGCATCGAATTTGAGAGTAGCGTCACCGATCATGTCAGTGAGTCGATTGCCACGGCGTAGTGTAGCGGCGCTTTCGCCCTGAGGAGGCCTGACTGCGTTTGCAACGTCTTTCGGAATATCAGGCAACTCTTGCTAACCCGCGACATTTCAGAAGTGTCTGCACCACGGGCGGACTCTCAGCTCAAAGTCTTTCGTGGGCAACAGCGGTTTCGTAGAACAGACATCGTCTCTCCCCGCACCCTCTTTCCGTCCAGGTCACGCGTTCCGGTCTGACACTTGGCACGGTAATTTGATCAACTCACCGCGACGAAAGTCGTACGCACGAGTAAACGCTTGCGTTTCCTTGCTGCAGAACCTACACTCTAGACTCTTGGGACCACCGGACCCATCTGCGCATCGCGTGGCTGTACTTAACCAGAGAGGGCCGGAGAGAGGGCATGCGGCTCATTTTCGAGGGGATCAAGTAGGTTCCGCCGCTCGACTGGGTTTCTCTAAGCATCATCTTCTGTTTACTCCCGGGAGTGCTGACGAGAGTTTGTGCTTTGCGTTTAGCGCTCATCCGGTCGAAGTCATTGTGATTGCAGCTCCGTCTTGACCTCTTCCGCTGCCCTTTACCTCTTCAAACAGTAGTTACGAAAGTTGCCCCCCACGGCCAGAGCATCCGGGCCATGCTTTCATTTGCTTCAGGCTTGCATCCCTGGCCGTCGAACTTCGGGCGGTCGGTTTTTCGGTAAATTGGATTCTAGATGTCGTAGTCCTTTACCCCTGCCAAGGTCAGTAAGGCGAGGCTTAATCAGAGCATTTTCGGGGGCTGTCTGACGATGCTCTCGGACCCGCAGATCGAAAGCGGATAGCGAACCCGCCCCTTGCGCACCTTACCCTTCGAGACGCTTGCTACAACTAATTCCAACAAGCGCTGGGGCCTGCTCTGCAAACCCATCCAAATCCTGGCCTCACAAACTTGTCAACCGAACCTGACATAAGCGCGATCTGCAGTCCGTTCTCTTCTCACTCCCAGATTGTAGACGTTCACGGTAGACCCCCTCCCGAGCGCAGGGCGTTCATTGCCAACAGCCCGAGGACGAAACGCGCGCGCGGCACGACGTTCCACGAGACGATGACGTACTTCTGGGTGCATATGGTGCACTACGCGCTCGCGACCACCAGCAACCCCGACGGCGGCTTCAAGACCTTCCTCCTGCTCAACCCGCAGGTGGGACGCCCGCCCTTGAATTTGGTGGCTCCACTGGATCAACGAAAATCTTATCTCTGAGGCCGTTCTGTGCCGACACGTTTGACGGTCTGAACGGTTTCAACTTGACCCCTTTGCGCATTGTTCGCGTAATCAACCTTGGCAGTAGTCGCTAAGCCTGCCACTTTGCATAAACCTGCGCGCTAGATCAATCCTGGGCTTGTATTCAGGCACAGCCGTGGCGAAGGAAAGCTCCAAATGAGGAGCAGAAGGCGAGGCCTAGAGTGTCGTCCGGCCGCAAAGTTCAGATCTCCACCCACAAAGGTTTTAAAACCCTGCGCGGTTGCTGCAGCTCGCCAACGGCGGCATGTTTTTGGCCTACTACTCCAAGAAGCTGATGCTGCACACGCCCGAGGCGCGGACGTCCGTCGTGCTGCCGGACAAGGCGCCCCTGCCCAGCCTGGTGTCGGACGTGCGCGAGCGCTCGAGCGCGTTGGAAAAGACGGCCGGGATCTCGCCGGCAGCGGAGAGCAGTTCAACTGGATCCGGTATGCACTGCAAGCAGGCTTTGACAATTTACATAGTGTTCGGATCGCCTTTTCCTTTTTGCTGCCAGGGCTGAGGCTGATTCGGATTTTGCAGTCCTGTAAAAGCTTTTATGACACGGCTGGTTACTTTTGGAGCTCGAGTTCAGAGCCAACGTTGCGGCTGGACCGCTGTTCGACGAACTGGCTGCCTTGTGCAAGCCGTGCTTGCGCAATTCTTTCTGTTCGCTTCAATCTCCGGTTCCGGTATCAAGACCGCAGCTCTTGTGCCCCTTGCTTGCGGATTGGAAACCTCGATTGTGCTCGGAGTAGTGACGGCTTCCTGCGTGTTGTCGGTACCTTTCTCGGTTGAAGCAGTGAGAGTCACACCGTAAAACCGCTCCCCTCGCTCACCCGTGCTCTCCTCTCGTCAGCCGTTCACGCCTCGGAAAACGACGCCGACTTCTTGGCGCGCTTCGAGGGCGGGCAGCTCGACCGGTGGAACCACGAGTGCCTGATCCGGGTGATCTTCCTCTACCTGATTACGCTGGGAAGGGCTCAGGGAAAGGAGAAAATACTAACCGAGCTGAGACGGCACGAAGGAAGCGGGTTCCACATGACCATCAACTACTTCTGGATCCAAATGGTGGATTTTGCGCGGGCCACGTGGCAAAAGTCGAGGCAGGGAGGCCCCGCGCCTGGGGGGGTGCGAACCAAGAAGGACATGGCGGCGGCGTCAGGTTTGGTTCGGATTGGGGGTGTCGACGGGGACGGCAGGGAGTGTAGCGCTGGGGGGGAGTTCGGAGCGTTCAAAAGCTGGTGCCAAGGATGGAAAGCGGGCGAGGGAATCTTGACAAATAGCAGGTTGTATCTTGATCACTATCGCGAGAAGTCCATCTTTGATACATCCGCGGCAGAAGTGTTCCGGCTGCCGGACCTCAAGCCTCTTCCAAGCCTTGTGGGTTGATCCCGTTGACATTGTACACGATGGTTATGTGGTTAGTGACCGTCACGGTCGTTGTAGTAGCCATATCATATTCCACAGTGTCCATGACCACAATGTGCATATGTACATGGCTGCGTGCCAGGATAACCGTACACATGTACTTATTGGACTCAATGTATAAGGTTTTATACACAATCGCCAAGCACGTTGATCGATATTCTCAGTGAATCAGCCATGCGCGTGCATGGCCGGCCACGCATATGCCGAAATCAATGATCGAGCCGCCGGGCGCCGGGTGCTGCAGAATTAGTCACAGCATGCACATCCCTGATCATGCATGTCTTCAACGCTGATTTATTTTTAATTATTAAAACATGGAATGCCGCACATGCGTGCATGCACTAGGTTACTCATATGCAAGTGCAATGGTGGACCCGCGCGGCATCAATAATTGTAGATTTACCATCCAAAAAATAGATAAAATTTAGGCGCAGGCAGGTATACGTGAAAATGCAGTGTATGTTGGTTCAGGCCTCCCCGCCAGTGGAATCTCAAGTGATTGAGATGCATGAAATTTGCAATTTGTATGGTGCATTCATTGATATGCAGCTCTCAGCAGCTGGCACAAATCGAACTTAACTTTATCCAGGGCGACCATGTCCAACAGCAATACATATTAAGCACTCAATCGTGCACATCTAGATCGTGCACATATTGCGTCATGGGCATAAAGCCATGCTCACACCACAGATGCATGACGTCCTCTTGCACCAAACGCCGCACCGACTGATCTAGTGAAAAGCTCTCTGTAGCCTGAAGCAGGGACACCGCTTTGTGACGATTTTTGTGAGACCAAGCTGGGGCCCAACAGTGGAGGGGCCTTTACATATCCAGACGAGGAGAGGGGTTCACGTGCAACTCTAGTTAGTTTTACCTGCCCAAGCATCAGTCTTTGTAAACAGTGACCCCCTAAAGCTGAAAAAGGTTAAAGACAAGTTGCAACAGGTTGTCTAGAAATCTGGTCGTATCCTACTCCACTCCTACACAAGACAAGTTAAGTGCAACGGTTGTGCGGTGTAACAAAGACAAAAGAAGAGTCTACTGTGCCAGTATCCACCATGTGCTGTCTCTAGAACGACCTTAAGAAGTCAGCAGATGACATTGGGAGTCACCCTAAATAAGTTACTGTGCTTGCAAAGTGTCGAACTCGCAGAAAACCTGCCTTCTTGCCACGCAGAAAACCTTGGTTACCACCTTCAGAGTAGCGCGGTTTTTTGAGAAGAGCAGCTTTATTAACCTGCAAATAGCCCGAAGATTCGTCACCTGTGCGGAGTATCCTGCGACCAACTTGAAGGGTGCCATTTAACATTCTCAGGAACAAGATAACTCAATACTGGACCAGAACGACCGGTTCATCTGATTCCATTTGGTCTTCGATCCAGTAAAGTACAGTACCTCTCTTTCTCATCCGTTTTCGCGCTCTCAGCAAGCCACCAATTCATATAACCATGTCGCCCGATTCATCTGATTCCATTTTGTCTTCGGTCCAGTAAAGTACAATACCTCTCTTTCTGATCCGTTTTCGCGCTCTTAGCAAGCCACCAATCAAGTACCATGCCGCCAAGTCCATCCCTGACAAAATCTCGGCACTCACCCGTGTGTCAGGAACTAAGCGGAAGGAGGTGGGAACGACGGTGCAGTGGTAGGAGAAGGAGTGGGAGTAGGAGTAGGCGAAGGCGGAGGTTCGGGAGCGGTTGTCGGCGCAGGCGCCGGAGCCGCCTTCGGCCCAGGGGCAGCGGTTGCGTTTCCAGCTGTAACTGCGGGAGGGGGGTTTGCGGGAGGAGGGCTTGAGGGGGGGCGGGTTTTCGGGAGGGGGATTGGCCGGAGGGGGGATTGGGCCGGGAGGGGGGGTTGGCCGGGGGGGGGGTTAGCCGGGGGGAGGGTTTGGCCGGGTGGCGGGATTGGGCTGGGAGGGGG